ACCGGAAGATCACAAAATCCGCATTAAAATGGATTAGATAATGGATATCCGCGGATATCCATTCGTAAGATTCTAAACGGTTATGTTAGGTTAGTGACTTATTAAACCAATCAGAACGCACTTGCCGTTTGGTTTTCGCTTACTTATTATTTTACGCGTATGTTCGGTAAGTTTATCAATTTGCGAAAATGTGGGTGTAAAATAATACAATTTATCTCTTGTTTAGAATCCAACGAAAGTTTTTTGAATATCCTAGGAAATGTATAAACTTGCGGATTTTGTTATAATCCGGTGACACATATATTGCGTTGTGGTGAGTGAGAAAGAAGGAATTTCTAACTGGCTATAAGTTCCAACAGAACGTATGTGCTATGCGCTACTATCTATATAACTCTATATAGTATATAAACTATATTAATACTCTTTATTTCATTCCTACATTTTCTTGTATTTCATAAGACGCGGGGCAGGCGTCAAGGTGAGATATCCCACTTAGTTGTCTTGCATGTAACATTTTCTAAACCTGCTAGTGTTGAGTTGCCAACGCTACAAGACTCACACGTGGCACAAACGAGCCGGCCTTATAATGAATAGCCGTCGCCTGCCGCGATATTTCAGTGAATTAACAAATGGCATCTGTCAGAGAGCGTGCGGCGCACGATTTTTCTGCCGGCCGTTACAGCCTGATGTAGGTGCGGTGTCCGTACTCCTCTACCATGTCTTAATGACCACGTCACCGCAAAAATGCCAGGTGCCCATTTTTACATCTCTAAACTTAGCTACATTTTATGCAATATACATCTGAAGCTGTTATTAAACTTTTGGGTAAGAGGAGATCACTGTTACACAAAACATTCTGAAATACGACAATTATATAAAAGTTTTTTTGCCAGAGGCAGAAGGCACATTAGCTGATGTAAGATGTAATCGCTATTCACCGTCCACAAGTATCAATACACTTACATTACCTGAAAGCTTACGAGTACGTTACCAATCTTTTAGTACTTCCACTATTATTAAACGGACACCGTACAATAATATGTATCCTGAAGGTCAATCTTTAAAAAAACGCTACAGTCAATACAATAACGATCAATTGTCATTAAAGCAAAAAAACCAGCCGTGGCTGGTGGATGATTATATCAGAGTAATTTTCTTATACAACACTTTTTTAAGAAATACTCACCTTTTTAAGAACTCTTAAGTGTATTTTTATTACAATTTTAAAAATATGCCAAGAGAATTTTATGAATAGAATCTGTATCTAATATGGTTAGAAGGCACTTCGTACGTAGCTTTACGTGTCACAGACTAAAAGCGTTAGCAGTTAAAGCATTTTAAGGTTTGAAACTTACTACTTTTTATATGATAAAAAGTGTATTTGTAATCTCTAAATTATAAAAAATACTTGAAGGTTGTAGTCCAATTTAACATATTAATGGCTTGATTCTCAACTTTCATTGCTAATAAACAAACATTTTAATAAATAGTAAATGAATGTCATCAAACACTGTAAATATTTACATTTAGTATTAAGTATTTTATATACGTTTTAGATTCGAAAATATAATCATATCATCATAATCCTATTGTCAAAAAATGATTTTATGTGTTCTCCACTAGACGTTAAAACATTTAAATCGCGAAGCGCTCTCTGCATGTGCTGTGTACGCAAGCCGCCTGAAATATTAAGTGAATTACAAGCGAGGTAAAATTAATATTTGCCTTATATACTGCCTATAAATGTAATGTATGTAATGTGTTTGCCAGCTGAATATATTGCTCTGTATCTCCAAATTAACGGCGGAGTTACTGGTCTCGGCACAAGGCGCAGTAAGCCTACTTCAACTGCTCAAACGAGCTACGGTTGCCGGCTAAATGCAAATCTTCGTACCTTGCTACAGCTAGTTTCTAACTGTGGAATGTTCCGAGTATTGCACCAATATATCGCTGCTCAGTAAGACATTATGCTGTGTTGGGAACGCAGTGAAATTATTTTTTATATCTGCTATGCTAACTGAAACAGCAGAGTTGGCCTTGGCTTGAGTGTTCGACCTCCAACTATGTGGTCATGCGCAGCTGGACTTTTCTTTTCATGTGCCAAACGCTCGCTCGTACGGTGGAATCGGTGGTGTGATAGGTACGGAAGGCTGATCACCTACTTGCCTATTAACCACTACGTGCTCCGAATCAATGGTTGCAACAGTATACATTGCTAACCAGTTTCATATTCTGCTTTGAAGATTTAGGCCTACAGACACAGAGAGAGAGTTCAAAACCAATTAAAAACGATATTTTTTCCTACAATATTAAATTGCTAACTTTGTTATCTGCAAAATATATAATGGACCATACCAATTGCCGTTAGAACTATCCAATTTGTTACCTTCAATAATATTATACGCTCTAAAACCCTACAATTCGCCGTGATAAAGTCATTTCGACGTAATCCAGCCCAAGCCGGCTGCAGGTCTATTTGTACGGAACTAATTGAGACCCCTGGGACACACCTGTCAGGCTCCGCAAGAATTTCGACCCCAACTTATTGAATATTATAAACTTACCTTTATGGCTGTTTATTTGAGGAAATCGAGTTTGCTGCAATCTGAAGTTCCCTGTCAAGAGATGTTTTTACATTGAACCGAGTCAAGGTAGCACAAACGTATAGGTTTTCGTTAGTGAATAACACACACGAAAAGTATTAGAACTCAACATACAAACGAATAGTATTTCGTTTTTAAAGTAACTGTAAAATTAAAATAATATTTTTCTATGTAGGTATTGTACCAATTAGTGTATAAAGGACAATGGTACCATTTTAGGCGTAATTGTTAAATTCATTAATAATCTACATACGTTTAATAATAATAATAATTAAGCCTCAATTATTCCTTGAAAAATTTATTCATATTTACAAAAGATACACCCTCTTAAATTTACACAATTTTATACAGAAACTAGCTGACCTGGAAAACGTTGTTAATAAGTAATAATAATTATGAATCAATATTTATATAATATTTATAAATAATTAAAAAAATTTAGTTCAATAGAAATAACTATCTACTATATACTAAAAAATAGGGGTTGATCGTGAAAATTAAGGGTTGTATGTATTTTTTAATGCCACATAAAAACATAAAAATTTATCCAAAAATTATATTTGTTTTTAAATATAGATAGTAGCCAATTCTCAGACTTACTCAAATTCAAATTAATTTAAATTAAAAAAAATTAAATTAAAAAATTTATAAGAATCGGTCGAGCCGTTTCGGAGGAGTATGAGAACGAACATTGTGACACGTGAATTTTATATACATAGAGATATACTTTTGAAATTATTATAGAGTATAGGCCTCCTCCAAAGGGCTCCATCTCTCTCCCTTCCCATCTACTACACCAACCAACGAAGCTCGTCAGTCCACAGTGCAAAAGAGCGACTCTCTTTCTTTACAAACGTTTACATAAGTATAAATTACTAATGAAGCATAAACCGCTTGAAACGTTCTCGTGTTAAGAGAAGACCTTTTTATACTTAGTACAATCATCCAATTTAATGATATAACTATATATTGTTAGTAAAAGTTACTAACTCGTAGACTTTTACATTCTTGAGATCCTTGTCACCGGTTGTGTGGTTAACGATTTGATTCCATATTACTATAAACATACTGAAAAAATTAAGCTGAAATATCGTCAATTAAATCTTCATAAAATTGTCAAAAATATATCATAACAATTGACTAATATCTAAGCCTACGTTGAAATGAATAACCATGTAGCGATCCTTTAAATACCTTTAATGACGAGTTGAAATTTGAGCGTGTAACATTAATGGTTCCATTTTGCACACATTACACATGCCTTTTCATTCTGCACAAATAATGCATAGTAATTGCTCGAATGCTTTGTAATTTCACACGTGCTCTTAGGGTTGTTACATTTGGACGTTAAGGGTTGATACTTAGATAAAAAATTGACAATTGGATCCGAGTTTATTAATGAAAAAATTGAATTAAATTGAGCTTAAAAAAATATAATTGAGTGCCAGTCTGATACATAATCCGCTGTTTTGATAGTAGTTTTTATTTTTTTGTAACATGTATGTTTACCATAATTGACATATATTTTCAAAAATATAGCTTGTAACATATACTGTAGATATAGCATTATTTTAGAACTTTACTAAATAAATAGAAACACTTTAAAACTAAAATTGTGTGCTCACAAAAGTGCTTGTCTTGTCTTGTGTTGCTAAAAGTTTCCTGAGGATTTCTGGACTTACTTTTTTTTATCATAAACCTTGTTTTTCGATCAAGTATTAGTAAAACATTACATAAATCGCTTGTTTAGATTAACCTAATAAAAAAAGTACAATATTATGTGGGGACATAGTTGTGTATATCCTTTCAGGTCAGATAATGTATAAAACAACTTGAAAAGGATCGTATCTTTGACAGCCCTAGTAGATTAGCTTTATAATATTGAATTGTAAGGACACGTGAAGTCACGTGCCTCTAGTTAGCCTTCATTGTGTCATCTCGCAGTTTACAATTGGACATTCAAAGTAGCTAAATTGGGGTTGTACATCATTTATTTTTTATTCAATAAAAGCTAGAAAGGAAGTCAAATATAAATAATGCATGTACTTTTAATTAGAGAATACATTTACACCCCAAGTGGTTCATTTGTATAGAATTAAATTAGTACTAGTTACAAAAAAGGTTTATTCTTGCCAAAAACTGCTGAAGTGGAGTACTATTTTGTACCTGATTTGCAGTGTTTCGTTGATATATTACTGTAATCATTCTTTTATCTTGAGTAGTCTAAGTAGGGCAATCAAAAATGGGGTAAGCATAAAAAAATACGTTTATATAACTAATAAAGATTCATTAGTCCAAAGCCCCGATAAACCTGATTGCAACAACAATGGACTGGTACAATGTTATTGCAAAATTAAATTAATATAAACATTGTTAAACGTTTATGTCATATTAAACTTATGTATCTGGACCATAATAAACGCCAGCGAAAAGCTCCTCTGTGTTCCAATAGTTGGACCTATCACAGTGAAGAGTAACAGTGAAATAAAATGGTCGATCGGCGACAGCTTCTAATGTTGGCCGAAGATGTGGTATCTTACTGTATTGTGCTAGAACGTAAAAAAAAAACAATAAAAATCTTAAAGAAACTTGAATCACAAATTCGTCGAGTTCGACCCTAAGAGCTTTGACTTCGACGCCTAATTCTTTATGCATCTTAAGAAATGCACAGATTTGAACAAATTACCCCACACTCTATGGGGTAGACACTTTGTTTTCCATCACCGAATGAGAAGTGTTAAATTCTCAAATTGCAAAACAACTACCAGTATTAATAGGCTAGGCCTAACACTGATGGAGTCTATAGTACTGTATTATAATACTAGTAGGTAAGCTTCGGTTTTTTTTACAGTAAAATTTTACTATAAAGCAATTCACTGAATTATGTGTCTGGCGTACCACCAGTCAATTAAAGGTAGTTTGTTTCCAAGACCAGCTGTGCACTTGCTGATAATTTCTTTATTTTATTAACGTAATCTTAACATATATAAATATCATCAAAAATAAATAAGTTCTTAATAACTTCGGACAGACTCACATGCATCGACTACTAATAATTAAGGTGTCTATTCTCAGATACAAGGCATGCCATTTAATGGCAAAGTTGAACTGAATATTCCTAAATAAAAAACAGTTTATAACTTCTGACTTTACACTGTGTAGATAAATTGTTCATAAAAATATGCCTTATTACCAGACAAGAAAGGTAATATTAATGGTACATACATGAATTGACAAATCTCATTGTTCTTTCTTTACTCAGAGTAAAATGCAACTTACATTCTGTGGTAATAATCCGATACGCGCCCATCTCATTAACTTCAATGAAGTTCTTTTGTTTCACTTTACTTATATACAGGGGTTTGTTAGTGGCCTCGTTTATCATCATGTTATTCAGCCCTGTACTATTTTTATCAAATAGTTTTTTTAATCCCACCTAGAAGGAATCTCGAACGAATGCTTTTGTTCATACAACTGCACTAAACAATATAACGATATTTAAACAAGTTAGCTCAGTTAGAATGCCAGTGCGCCAATAGATTTTACTGTTATTCTCCAACCAAACCAAACAAAATAAATGATATTTATTGTAGGATTATATACGCGCATTTATTAATTTAATTACTAAATTGAAGAAATATTAAACATTTATTTACGTCATAAAGTAAACGATATCGTTATTTTATAATGTAAATTTACCTTCTGCAAGGATTCCGTCCAATCTACCAAGGTCTTTAACTTAAATCTGGGTATCGCAATGTTTAGAAATTCCATTCGCATCCTCTTTTTGATTGTCCTAAAGTAGTTGGGTCTCAATAAATTCCGAAGAAAGTCTTGAAGGCTCTTCCTGTCTTCAGGTATTACAAATGTCATTGACACTCCGGGGCTGGCAAGTTTCATGTTAATCACCTGTACTCATAGATAAATAAAATAAAAATAAAAAAAGCCTTTTATTTCTTGAATTCTATAGTACAGTTTCATTAACAGTGTACATGCAAAATAAATTAGAAAGAAATTAAAATTAATGTGATTATGATTAACAAATAATTTGATTGTAATAATAATATATTCAAATCCATTACATTTTTGTAGTCTCATTTAAAAAATGTACATAGGATTATTTAGTTATTGATTTAATTTGAAGTTGATGTTGTAATTTACATAACATAATAACAATATCTAATTAAATATTTTTTAGCAAGAACCCTCTCCATGAAAGGTAAAGGCCTCCCGAGAAGACCTCTAGAAGAAGTGGTCTCTATTCTCTGCCGCACGTAATGAATGAGTACCTATCTATATTCACAGATAAACCTATAAAACTAATTATAAAGAAGTAATGAAAAGAGAATACAAACAAAAACTGTTGTTAAGGTCAGAATGTTAATAAATTTTACAAATAAGTTATAATGTTCACATAAAGTTAATGTTCAACAAAACTACTATAAATGTGGGTAGACTCATTAAGATTTGCCTACCCTCACTTACATGCAAAGCGATGACGCTTATTTCTTATTTCGCCTTTAAGGCCGCGGTTATTTCAGTTTCCTTCTCATGTACCTTACTCGGTATATCAAAACAAAAAAAGGAAAATCATTTTCCGCTAAAAGCCCTAAACGTACCTTTATTTTATTTAAATCATCGTCAACATATAACACCTCCTCACTCTTGAACATCATAGGTACGAAAACTGTGCTTTGGTTGTAATACCGAAATTTAATATTATGTTTTGTATGCAATATGTTAAATGGAACTTCCCATGTTGCCTTTAAAATAAAATCACGGATAAATTATTTATTAAGAAGTTATACGATTAATTTTATAATTTAAAAATTGTTCAAACTTCACAGTTACATTTTTTGATGTACCGACAACATAGGTAATTTTCAAAGCAAGGCGCCAGTCTCTACATTCATTATTCAATAATGTTTTTTCATAAAGAAATAAACCCCAGATCCCAGAGCCTGACACCCCGTGCGTTATAACTAAATGCGGTTATTTACATACATACAAGTATTAAATACTGTTTTTTTTTATTTATACAATATAATATATAGACAATCATCGTTTATATTAAATGCTTTATATATTTACTGTTAGGTATGCGGCATTAATTAGTAGCATAGATGAATCTTTTGTAATATCTTCCTTGATTAAAACATCAGATAGACGCTTGAACGTTACACGATCGATCTAAAACAAATTGAATTAAGATTTAAAGGCCGGCAACGCACCCACTAAAATCGGTTTCCATGGGCTGCAATGACTGCCCATTTTGGTATCCAGTAGGCTCGTTTGTTTTATTTTTTTGCAAAACTGTTTTCTACTAAAATAAATTTTAATTTTCAATAGATATGTTTGCATATACGTTTCGAAAATTCAATAATAAGACTGTTGAACATTTAAATAAATAAAATGTTATTTTTTAAATACATATTCCTATAATAAAAAATATTTAATAATACTCAATTAATATTAGAAAAATCTCTTACCATTCTGTTAATATAAATGGTTGCGGCTTTGGGATAGTTAAAACTAACTTTCTGTATCTCCACGCCAAAGGCAGGTTTTGATAGTGTATCTTTATAGCCTTTAGAATAGTTTAAATAAATATGGTTAACCATTACGAAGTCTATACGCTTCAAGTGTGTGAGAAATACATCAAGATCACGATAACTCGAATTTATCTGCAATTTAATATTATGTTTACTGCTAGCTGTACACAATAATAAAAGATGTAAAACTATATACTATATGAACCTTTTTGATGTTTCTCTTTGAAAAACTACATTATATCTTTTTCATTCGTCCTGTATTAAAATATTTAATATAATTAAAAGTTATTAAAAAGAAAATTAAAACAAATTTAAAAAGTTTGGTCCCTGTGGCAGTGCACCTTTAACGCTGGCATTTCCTCACTGTATTGCGATACTTATTCGGTGAGCGAGGAAAGCACCAGTACTAATTAGTGTCTGTGCACTTGAACCCCACGGCCCAAGAGTCTCTACTCCAAAGGGAACACAATCGAAGTTGAAGAAAATACTCTTATAATTGAGTCGTTTATTTAAATTAATTACATATATTTAAACTATTGTAATATACTAAATAGGATTGTGAACATAGCACAATTGTATATTGCCAAAACACAATAAAACGGTACACGCCATTAAATGGCTATTGTTTATGACATAATATGCTTACCATTTTCATATTTTGGTATCCCAAAAACTTTAATAATTCTACCTTTACGTCTCCTTGCGCGACAGAAGCAAGCTTACACAGCGGAAGTTGAAGTGAAAGTGGGGACACTACTATGCTCTTGTTAAAATGTAATAGAAGTTTACTCTAAAAAAGTAATTTTTAATAATTTATGAAAATCATCACAGTATCGCTTCGTCAAATTGCCGATAGCCATGTTTGATTTCACATTCTTCTCATTAACTTTATTATAAGGCGTGATTTCACGCACTTGCCTTTCTTTTGGATTTAAAAAATTAATTACGCACTCAATAATATATTATTTTGAGAGTATTTTGCGCGTTCTGTGAACTAAGTTCGGTACGTTTTCACTTGAGGTGTGTGATTAATAATTAATCATGGTAAGGAACCAAACCTGGACGAGTTCGTTGTAGATTACGTGAAGTTCATGTCTTAAAAAATGACAATGCGATAAAGTGAAAATATTTGTATTTTTACGAAATACACTTACAGGAACCAAGCTGGAACTAAATTTATCAGGATCACAGGTACCAAACGTAATGTATTGAAAAATATATATTGCTGAAATGTGATGCGAAAAACATTATGATGTAAAAAAAGGCTACAGCACTGATGTGATTAAAATCCGTACTTATGATTAAAAAATTCATTTCTGATAAAATTGCAATGTTCACGTTATCTTTAAATGAAAAACTCTCTAAAATGCCAGATTATAATTAACATTATTCGATGGATTTTTATGCAAAACCTTTCGTAAATCATTAGTTACTAAGCTTACAGTTGTGAGATCAACTGCATTAATTTGACGTAAAAAATATATCATAGAAAAAGCGGTTTTAACTTATATAATTATTAAGAAACTTTATATAATCGATGGACTGAAAAGTTCGTAGGCTGACATAGATGGCGCTACTGGTATTAAATTAATATGAATTAGCCCTTACATTCAAAAGACACGTGTATAAACTGTCGTACTATTTTTCATATTATCATTTCATATGTGATATTATTTTTGAGAGAATTATGAGTGAAGGAACTTTTTTTTGTTTAAATAAATTGATAAAATGGAATTTCGTATGTTAATAAAAATACTATTGAAGCCAAGGCTTGGCTTGATAAACATTATTATATCTTAGTATTCTATATACCGCTATATCGTTGTACCACTCTCCAAGGCAACATATTGAATAGTCAAATCAAATTCTAATAAAAAAAAATATTTTTTCTGTAAGCCTACAAACTTTTCAGCCCGCTTGTTTGTAGTTGTTAAAATAAGTAATCCTATGCATACTTATGATTTTAAATTTGATGTTGAATATGAAACAGTAATAATACTGCGACACGTACCAACATTCAGGGTATATAATAAATTTCGTACTGAAATATTCATCACCAAAGGTATAGGGCGGGTACGGAGGCGTACAATCTATCGCGTATAATGGACTTGTTAAAGACAATATTCTTGGAAACATATTGGATGCAGCTCAACGAATGTGTAAGCGAGCGCGGGACTAACTTAAAGCTCGTGCCACAACCGAGTAATAAAATTATTTTTTTATCACCGTTTAAAAACTTCTTAAATCTCATGTAATCTCTTTATGTATAATTTTAACACCATTAGACATGCGATGAGATAATGCTTAAGTAAATTTTTAATTGCACCAGATAAATCATACAATATCTATATACTCGTATATAAAATTCTCGTGTCACAATGTTCGTTCCCATACTCCTCTGAAACGGCTCGACCGATTCTTATGAAATTTTTTATTCACATTCAGTAAGTCTGAGAATCGGCTATTATCTATCTTTCAAATCCCTAAGTAATAAGGGGTGTCCACCCCAACTATTTTTATTTTTTAGTAAAAACATTTGTTTTTATTTTTTTATGATACAGCATACAAAAATACATACAACCCTTAATTGTCACCCCTCTACGATCATCTTCTATTTTTGAATATAGTAGATATTTATTTTTATTGAACTTTTACGTATTACGTTATTTTATATACATGGCCAAACGACGTTTGCCGGGTCAGCTAGTGTACAAATATAATTTTCAGTTTGTGGCACACGTATAAGTCAAGAAAAATAACGGTTATTGTGTGTAATTTTCTCGGAAATATTAACAGTTTAGGATTTGTATTCCTACGTTAATTTCTCCGACTCCTTTAGAGATGGGTTAACAAGCTACTTTATGAAATTTAACTTTGGACAACAAATAATTAAATAGATATTCCTCGGTATGCCTCAACGTTTATCTCGCGATAAATCCTTCGCTACATCTGGGCAGGCGCTCAATTCAATTTTATTACTATTCTCCGAGACTTATTTGATTCAGTCGTCAAAGCGATCGGAGTCTCGGGTTACATTATCGCTTCAACACTATCTAGAAGGCGCTGGGTGCAATGCGGAGTAGAAAGTAGGCAACTTTAGAACTCGTGTATCTCATCAGAACTACTACTACAGGACTTTTTAACTTTTATATATATATATATATATATATATTACAGCTATGCTTATTTTAGGAATAAATTGAAAGCCTGTCTTCCTATAGGTGTCCTAATTTGTGTATCTTGAATTCCTGACAAACTACTTTTAAACTAACTAAAACAAACGAATAAAGGAATCGGCAATCGAACTTAACCGTATTTGTGCCATCATTTTTCTGATGCTGTCTTTGATACTTTATTACATTTTATTTCAATGTATCAAGAGAAGCATGTTGTCAATCTTTGCAGTTTCTAACAACTTCCTTCTAAACTAAAAACTTTTCGATTAAAAGTTGCCGAGATTTTATTCCTAGTTTTTCTCGCCTAGTGAAAGCCGTTAATGGGAACTTGGTAGTAAATGCGATGATTAGACATTCATAAGTTTTTGGACACAGGTAAAGGCCTCCTCCAGCTATTTCAAAATATCTCTCTCCATGGTTTTTCTTTCTCCATTCGCTTCCTGTAGACGCTTCTATATCTTCTATCCACCTTTTTTTAGGATGCCCTCTTCTCCTTCTTCCCCTTGGTCCTTTTCATATAGTTGTCTTTGAAGTACACTAATTTGTATAAAAACTGTCAAATAAAAATAAGTAGTTTTAATAAGTCATGTTGAAGAAAGCCAGTAGTAAATGCGTTATCTGCTCATACATTTTCATCACAAATAATAGAAATATTGCCTCTATATTTAATCAAAACTTCATTAGAAAATTCAGTGGCATGTAATTGAATGAATATTCAGGCATCTTAATCAATAGCAGTATTACTACGGAGGTCCTACACGCATTCAGCGTGAAATTGGAGTCGAAAGGAAAGAGACAAGCATACAGATATACTGCAAGAGTAATAGAGATAGAAGCTTAGCGAGGTTTTATAAATCATTTTTCCCGGCACGGCAGCGATTTAGGATGTATGCAAACGCAAGACCTGAGCTACGTAATAAATTTTAATTTTTTGAATTTACTCTGCGGAAATTGCGTATTTGCAATCCTGTGGGGAATACGAATTATGGATGTAATAAACTAGATATTTATAGTGGATCGGTATCATTTATTACTTTTTCATTATTATAATTTTGCTTGGTATCACCGCTCTGATTGATTATGTACCGTATTTTGCGTCACACAAATACAATTACTTAATTCATAACATGACTATGTATGATAATTTTTCGTATTATTTAATGTATCAAACTATATTAGTATGGTGTTTTAATAATGATTGAAATCATTATTTTCAAATAAAGTATTTCAAAAAAGAATTAAAAAATGAGTAGTGAATACAATTAAACATTTGAATAGTTTGTTTGTTAATTAATTATGTTGACTTTACTAACACGTATTGTTTTAGTAAAGTCGCGATTTCGCAAGCGGCCTTATTAAGTAAAATGCTGAATTGCGATTATTTCTTTTTGCGTTTAGTTAATCAATTATTCTAATATTGTTCGCTGCGACGCGCGCTCCCACCGATTTCCTGACAACGCACATGTACGCTCCGAGGAATTATCATTTTTGTTCTTGCTTGTATGGACTTTTTTCGCATTTATTTCGTATGAGTATTGTCTTTTTAATTCAATGTTATGCGTTGACAAAATGTTTACTATTTTAAATGACGATTATCTGTGAAACTAATTGATTATAATATAAAAATATTCACTGTATTTTCTAAATACCTTTCTTATAGTTAATGATATTTTCTGTAACATATAATTTTAATTTAATTTATGCCTAAAATAATTATTAAAACAGTATAAATTTAATAATTTTAAAGTTTTAATACGTAACAAATATATAAAGCAGGCACTTTGTGAATGAATTCCGAATCGCAATTTGTTTGCTTCATTGTGTATCAATATTTGAGTGGTTCCACATATCTTCAAAAGCTAAGTCCATAAAAGGACAGAGCTAATCACCCAGTCTGTCCTATATCCGTGAACGAATAGTGCGACAGTTTTCCATCGAGATTGCGAAATTTAAGAGCGAATTGGAGCAATTCAGCGCCGCAGTATGCAAGGCGAGTAAACTTATTAGTATAGCTTGGATACCGGTTTCTTTCAATCGGTAAGTTTTAAAACCGCTAATATTTTTTCACGTTTTTTGATATAAGAATAACAATTAATTTTCTTCTTCTCTGCCACTTCATCACTAAAGGTTGCCTGTTAAAACCTTGAACTGCCGGGTATCTTGCGCTAGTGTAAACAATTCCTAGGCGGATGTGATGCCGGTCCACTCCCGTACGTTCTGCAATCGACTTCTTCCTTCTACCAGTCAGTCTCTTGTCTTGAATTATGCCCATGATTATAAGCTACATCAAATCGTATCGTGTAGTCCCGATTCGTTGAAGGACTCATCACTCTTTGGATCCAGCTGATGCGAAGCATGCGACGGTAACACTACATTTCAATAGCTTCGAGGAGCCTTCTTTAAGAATATTTAATAATTTATTAATAAGTACAAGAAGCAATCATAATATGACATCGTATAATGTGATTAGATT